ACGAATTAAAAACAGAGGAAAAAAGGGAAAAAAGAAGAAAGAAAGAAAAAAACAAGGGCAGAATTTATGCCGCGTTTTTACATATTGCTTTTATATATTTTCACTTGCACGTATTTTTTCATTGAAAATAATTATTTTAAATTATTTTCAAGCGAAAAAAAATAAGGAGGACGATAAAGATGTTGCACCTTCCTCTCTATATCCGTCATTGCGTCGTACTCTGCGCCATACCCCTCGTCTCGACCGACAGTCCTCACTGACAGCTCCCCTTCACCCTTTACCCCTCGGCGCATCGGTCTGTTGTCCAACCGTTCTTAAAACTACTCCCACCGTCGAGTCTGCAATCGTTGCCATGGTCGCCCCATCGAGCGCGTAAACTCGATTCTTCGTAAACCGTATTACAAACTTCTCTCTAACCGCACTATTCCCAATCAATTAGGTCAGGTCGGGTCGTGAAGCGGCAACTTCCGGCGCGCTTACCTGACCGACCGGAAGCACTGCGTCCCTCCTGCCTCGTTCTTCGGATAGTGCGTCACGTTTTACCGCGTTGCGCGAATCAGCGACGCGTTTCGGAGTTTTCGTTCCCATATAATTATTTACTACTTAAAAAAAAACTTTTTTTTTTTTGAACAGGTCTGGACAAATGCGGCGACTGGCGCCGCATTCAAGACTTTGAAAAGAGAAACCCTTATCCGAATGCAGAATCTTTCCTCACTTTGCTTGTTTACGTGATTTAGAAAACCTTGCACGCTTTGTATGTAAATTGGCGTGAAAATGTGCTTGCCTTTTTTTGCAATGTCAATTGTTCTGTTCCATCTATATTTTGCTTCGAGTTTATCGCATGCGACACGTATATGTCTCAGTTTTTCACGAAACATTTAAATCTCGCGTAACAGTTTTATATTTAAAAAAAAGTTGACTAGATACAAAACTGCATCATTTTTTTTCTCTAAAATACATCCGAGAAAAGTTTCATAAAAAATCTCTACACTGATGCAGATAATCGTCATGTGCGGTTAATTAGACTTCTAAACCCCATTTTATTTATAAGACAGAAGTAAAAAGTTTTTTATAGGAAATAGCGGTCCACTAATGCAACATTAATTATATTAAAGTGCAATAACATATACATAACGCTCCGCGGTTGAAATTCGTTCACGTACACGGGAACCTTTCAAGAGCAAGGTGAACCCTTGGCATTCACATGGTAAGGACAGGTGGTGCGGAAGGTGAAACCAAGAGGAAACGGACGCCGAGTTTGTGGCAATGTAGGGAGAACTAGAGAGAGAGAGAGAGAGAGAGACACGAAGAGAGAGAGAGAGAGAGAGAAAAGAAGAGAAAGAGAGAGAAAGAGAGGCCGGATGTCCTTTCGTGGTCGACTTACTTCGTTGTCGACGAGGCTTCTCATTTCTTTGTGTCCACGTCTCTTTGTTTCATTATTTTACCAACTTTTCGTGCCCGAAAACTCGAAAGCGTCAAAAACTCGTTCCCTCCCGCTATTTACATACGCGACTCTTCAAAATTGTAGGCTTTGCGAGTAGGTAGGTGAATACAGATGAGTATCGCCTCCACCATGTATATTTCTCTTTCTCTCTAGTGAAAAAAAAAGGAAAAAAAAGGAATCTGTGTAAAGATTTAAACGCGACTCGAACAATATGTTGCGCCATATGTACGAACATAATGGCGAATGAAATCGAATTTGAGCCACTCGGATTAGAGAGAATTGTAGATTGCAAGAGGATTAACGAGTGAATCAGATATTAAATTGTAACTCGCTTCGATCGATTTCGAATTATCCTCCGATAAAATGTGTAATTATGCCGATATCGTGATAATTATACCGATCACTAGAAAACGGTCGCGCCTGAAAGCTTGGTGATTACACGACACATTTTAATCTTTTATTAGGTAGAAGATTAGTTAAAATTCAAGAGAGAGAGAGGGGGGGGAGAAGAGCTGATAGTCGAAAATGGATGAGCACGCGTAGTAGATATCAATATCGGGTTTTTTTTTCACAAATTTATATCTGAACTGTTTGTGAAATTTAGAAAGAATGTTTTTCTGTGGCGCCTATCCATGTTAAGGCCAATCATACTTGTTATAAAGTTTGGCTGTGGTAGACAGAAAAAATTAGCGGCAAGAAACAAATGAATATATAATCCTCACGTCTAACATATTTGTATAACGCGCTCAATCTATCTAGCTCTTTTAAACAATTTTTCTCAATTTTTCGATGCTGCAGTTATAATTGGCAGTTATATTTCTCACAAAGATCGTTCTGTAGTATCGAAACTCATATTTATCCAATGCAGTGATTAACATTTGGCAATGGGACCTAAATTTTCTAGAAGATATTATTAGAATGTTGCTGCTATAAATTCTATATGTAACAGACAATATTCTAACAGATACAAAAAATAGCGATAAATTTTTGTTGTGACACCTAGAAATCTACCTATATCAGCAAGACATTTTTTTGAGTGTCTAAAGCATGTAACTCGCCCTCTCTTCTAAACTAAAAATTAAACTATAGATATAAATAATTTGATATAATCTCGTTATTTTTGATTAAATGCAAATATTAGTTAAAATTTATGCGCGATAAAATAATTTTTATTTTAAATCTTGAAGATACTTGAACCCATTGTTTCGTGATTCTTCTGCCATCTAGCGGCGGCTCCATAAAAACACTTCTTTCTCTAATTAAAGTTAATTAAAATTAACTAACATCAAAAAGGTTTTAATTTCAGTTTCAGCAAGTTTTTCGGTTCTATATCTATGTTTAAATATATCATTGATTAAAAAACAATTGTTTAAAGTTTAAACTTACAACATAAAGATAAACTAAAATTTTTTCAAGTTAGACAATTTTAACAGTTCCTAATCATTTCTCTTATTTGATTAAATATGTAATTTATATTTCATTTTATATTAAAAAAAAAAACTATTAAATATCCTTTTATAGTCGTTGATAAGAAAGAAAACTAACCTCTTTTTTATCTCAAGTCGATATAGCACCGTGTATGTATCGTCGACACGATAGGGATTTCTATCGTCTCGATTAAAACTTCCTGCATTATCGGCAGCAAAAATATATCTGCCGATCGGGTAGATGCGAAGTAAACGCGGGAGAAGAAGAGCGAATTCGGTAAGTAAAAAAGAGCGAATGCTTCTCACGAGCTCGTGGGATAGCATGTGGCACACAGATGATTACAGACCGCGTGTTGAAATCCGGATCGCGATTCGCCGACGAGAAAGAGAAGTAGAAACGCGTAATATTTCTCAAAAGCAGTTCCCATATGCGCAACTTCCTGCAGACGATCATTTTTTTTTTTTTTACGTATTCGCAACTTTTCCCACGAGTATAAAAGTCGCTTAACTTCTGCCATTAAAAGGGAAGACCCAACTTAAGTCGACAATAAAACAGCGAACTGCAGCGTAATCATGATTGATTAAATAAAGAGTGATTGCTCCAACTAAGTCCTTGTCGTTTTAGATTAAATTTAAAATTAATTAAATTTTAAGAAAGCAAAATTTTATTCGCATTTTCAAGACTTTGTTCGTCCAAATGTCAATTAAGTTTTAGCCTTAAATAATTCTTCAACTGTTGACACTTTGCCGTTTTAATTAATTATATACAAAAAAGTCTCTAACCTCAATTATTTATATTTTAAAAACTCAACTTCCTGCCATCGGTATTTTTTCTTTAATATTTATTGTTAAGAGAACAAACAATTTTTCTGAATTGTTCTGTATAATTAATTCTCTTTTTTGCAGTATCATTCGATTTTATGTCAAGCGTTCAATCAATCATCGTAAAATCATCGAATGCAAATTTTTCCATTTCGATCTGGAGAATGTATTCCCCTCTGTCGAAACAATTTAACACACGACTAGTAGTTTTCACCTTCTATCGAAACGAAAACGAATTGTCTCAGCCCGATAGGGAATCAAGCAGCGCGCGATCGAACGATTCGTCTCGAGTTTTTCGCCTGCATCCCGGCAACCGTGACGGATCGCGTTGTTCATTCATCTTCGGGGTTCCTTCTTCCCTCTCGCTCGCGTTGTCCATTCATTCATCTCCGGCTCGTTCGCGCGCGAATGAGCAGGCTGTCGTCTCGAACGAATGCACACACATCGTCACGCGAGATTTACATAAGCGACTCGACAATAATTGCGCGCAAGAAACGGACAATTAAGACTCATTTGAATGGATCAGCTTGAAAAGTGGCGAGTTATCTCTTTTGAAAAGTTGAAGAAATTAATTTCGTTTTAGTAAGCTGTTGCATCGAATATAAAAAAAAAAACATAGAAAAAATATTTGTTGGATTATTATTAAGATTTCTTTATATTTTTTTTAATTTTATAAGACTTTACAATCAAAACTGCAAAAAACGTTTTTCTAATTCCTGTAAAATTTCTATGAAGTAACACAAATTTACGTGTATCGTGATATTTTAGTTTTTAATATTTCAGATATATATATGTATTTATAATGTTGGTCACGCGCGACGCGTTGAAACTTTGGGACCATTGTTGATCTCATATCAGGCGCATCGAAGCGATTATTTAGGATTAAATTGACCGTGAAGGCGTGAGATGGAAGCAAAATGTCGTAAATTTAGATATAATTTAGCTTTTAGCTGCTCGTTTGATCACGGTTAAACGCGTGATATTTGAAAACGAGGGGCCAACAGTTCTGTTCTTTCGAGATATACGGGCACCGGTATCGCGTAAGTATTATTATACGCCGTAAGTTGTTTTAAATTAAAAAATAACGATTATATCATAAACGTTTTTACTTTTATATTTACTTTTAAATACATAGTTATATTTAGAATTAAAAAACGTAGTTAAAAACCAGGCGCTTAATTGTTTTTGTAGAAATTTTTTTATTCCTTTTATAGGAAGAATTTTATTCAAAAAAGCTTCCTCTTATGTGTATATCATAGATATACATTTTAATATAAATTTTAGTATCTAAATCTTATCACACATACCTGAGAAAAGTATGACGGTAGAACGCAGCGTTGATCGTCGAGACGTGAACTTTGTACTCGCTCGAGTAACTCGAACAGATCCTGCGTTGTGCTCTGTAACAGATTTTTCAGATTCCTTGAATCTCCGCTTCTTTTTTTCCTTTCTCTTATGTCTGCCGTTTTTGTTTTTTTTTTCATAATCGCATTCACACATAATTAAATTATTTAATTATGTCATATTAATTAAACATAATTACAAACTAGTAAAGTATTGAGAAAGTTTCAATTAAAATAATGAGAACTCACTTTGACTTTCTCCGGATTGGAGCCTTGTCTGTCATCTTCCACGGTGGTGGTTCGCCGCGATTCGGGCTCGTACACAGATTGCTCCAACTGCTGCCTTCTGTAAAATAAACAAGTCAGATAAAAGATTAGTAGACAGTCTTCATAAACGAAACATCAAATCTCATATGTATGTAAAAACGCAAGATGACATGACAGATACTGTGACATATCTTACAAGAGAACCTCGTGAATCCGAAAATTCTGATAAAACTTTATAGACATGTAGAAGGGGTCAATAGATGAATTTAGAAATTTTCAGTTGTGGCCCAAAAACTGTTCTAAGGGAGTGACGAAAAAAAAAAATTTTTCTGTTTGAAAGAATAATTTTTTCAAATTTTTATTAATGTGGTTAAATAGAGCTGTTTTTATCATAACTTTTGTATAAAACATTTTTTGATATCTTTGATAGTTTTCGAGATATATCGAGAAAAGCAAAAAGCCGCTTTACATATGAGGACTTTCGTCCCTTATTATTAGAACCATTTTGGGCCGCAAAATTTCTAAATTCATCTATTGAATCTTGCAAAAATTTCCCTGATCTTCCAGATATTTTTATTCAAAATTCCAGGTGAAAAGAATATTGATAAAATATATCAAAAACTCCACTCCTTTTTTAAATATTATTCCGCATTAGCAAATGCATATGTAATTCAATAATCAATTTTTTCGTAATCGATCTCTCTCTCTCTCTCTCTCTCTCTCACCGGTACACTTCTCAGCCGAGTCTATCTCGAGAAGTGCACAGGGTTAAACGCAGCCGGCGAAAAAATCTCGCTTCTCTCGGCGCGCGATAGATATTGGCCATTTCGAAAACACGTTCCGATCGATCGATCGATCGATCGATCTACCGGCGCGCGATCCCATAAGGCAAAGTGCATCATTACCGGTTGTTGTGTATTAAGAAATAGACGTATTAACATATTTCCGCGCGCGGAGGCACATAATAACTCGCTCCGTATGTAAGTTACACCGATATTATTATGAGACATACTACTTTCTCTCTCTCTCTCTCTCTATCTCTTCTGTAGGCCATAAATGATATTGCGGCGACGCGTGAGTAAATCTTAAGGTGAAACGTTTTGTGAGGCTCGACTCGGAGCAGCCATTTATGAGAGGAAAACCTGCGGTAGACACTTGGCGCGATAAATAACGAAGATAAAAGGTAAAGTGAAATATATTGTGGCGCGCATAAGACACATAATTCGTACACTGCGTATATGTATGTGTCGCTGATAATGACAAGGTATTATCAAAACGGATAAATTAATTTCCTTATTGCTCAATGTTTCGGCGAGAAAACGATACTTCATCTCGAGTCTTATATTAGATCCAGTAACATTATATAAAAATGCTAGTGACACTATAAAAGTAATATACTATGAAAGAACTAAGAGTTAAATTAATCTCGAATGAGTTAATTATATGTTGATGGAACTGTATCATTTCATAAAAACTCATTATCAAGAGTTCTAGCTTTACTTTCGATAAGTTTTTCATCTCGGTTATGCGCTTGATATTTCTTTCTTTTTAAAGATAAAACTTTTTCTAGAGCTGAAAAATATACAACCAAAAATTTCTTAACGTCTGACAAAAATTACACGGAAAGTCTTGCAAAGGACAAAGCGAGACATTATTTCGCGCTTCAGGCAATTCGAGGTAATTTCTTTCTTTAATGGCCAGAACAATTTGTCCAAATTAACAAAGCTTTTCTTCTCTCTCTTCTCGAGCTATGTAACACACTCTTAATAATTCACGATTTTCCATAAAATAATATGTCAGCTTCATGTACATGCGTTAATTACACGTGTTAATATTGTACATTCAAAAGTTTGATGTTGGAGATTCAACGGTAAATAGTTGCCGACAAACCAACAAACTTACGACAATGAAAGAAAGAAAAGTGATCCCGGATTCATTAGGAAATACTCGACTGTAAGCGGCAACGTGCAATTTTCTGAAATACTCTGTCTATAAATTCTAATAAGGCACCGAGACCCTAGTCGAATTGAGCCCGAGTAACTACTCGGAATGCTCTTCTGCATAACGCAAACTCTCTGACTGCGAAACGAGTATTCACGTCAGAGGCGTAGGTTAGTCTCTTTTTTTTTTTTTCATGAGAAGAGAAAAACCCAGAAGAGAAGCATAAAAGAAAACGTTAGCTGGATTCTCATTTAATATGGAAATATCTTCTTTAGATTCGAAACTAGATTAGTAACTAGATTGGTGAATAAATATTTATTTCGCATAAATATTTATTTTTAAAGCACGCTTCGTATAATTAAAATTTTTTATTTTAATATTATATTAAAATGTTTGCTTTAAAATAAGGTTAACATTTTTAAAAAATCGATCATTCGAAATTTCTGAGAATCAATACACCGTTTTTCATATTTTGTACACCGCAATTTTTATATTACAATGCGTTTGCAAAAATTTATAACGTGTAACAATATCAATCCAAGGAAAACGATTTATAAAAATCTAGAAAAAGTTTTTTCTTCCCCTTTATTGTGTTTGTTGAAATTTATATAATTCAACAATTCGAGCTTACGCCACTGCGTTCATTCCAAATACTCGCTGACCAAAACGCAACGAGCGAGATCGAGAGAGGTGCAATATAAGCGAGATAGCAATTATCCAGGCTCTGTGTGCCGCAAAGAAATAATCGCTTCGTACGATCGTATTTCTATCGCGGAGAGAACTCGGCCTCGCCAAAGGATCGAGAGGAGCGAGCACGAGAAAATCACGCGTAAGACGTAAAGCCGTAAACGACCGCCGTCGATTCATTGGTCATTCTTCGAAATTCAAGGGCGCGAGCCGGCTCTATCCGAGCGTTAAATTGTTGAATAAATTGAGTGTATGCACGAAACGCACGCAATCCGATTAATCGAAATGCTATTATTAACTGCAATTAATTCAAAATAAAAGAGAATTCGAAGAATAATTTTTCGACCAAGACCAAATTAAAATTAAATGTTGGAATAAATATTATCCAAGTCACAGTTCAATGAGATCACCTAATTCGGGACATCCCTACGAACCAAGAATGAGCTAGACAGAAACAAGACGAGCGGTCACAGCATCTGGCGACAGCTGCGGACATTTTAGGATGGCAACGATGACGACGTCATCTCGGCGGTGGCATCCTTTCGTTCGTGGTTCATTGCATCGACCTCGTTCGAGGAAAAAGAGAGAAAAATATTGCCCCACAATTGCGCGCAGTTCTTTCTAAATTCGCTAACGATTTCACGGCAGATTAGCAAATTAAGCACATGTGAGATAAGAAATATCCAAATAATTTCGAATATTTTTTTCGAAACGTATATGTGAGTTATATGTGAGTATATTTTATCTAATATTTTATTTTTTAATTCATAATGTGTGTTTATTTAACATTTTCCATTTATTTTTTTTAATGTTCGAGCGAGGATATTAAATCTTTATTATATTTATTTTAACGAGTCATCTATGTGTATGTATTATTTCTAGTATTTTTTAAATATACATATATTATTCTATTTTCGATAATATATATATAAAATTATATATATATATATATATAATATATTATTTTATTTTATTCTATATATTTA